TTTTTAGTTATTAACCTAAGTTAATCTTTTTTCCACTTATGGTTTTATGACTTGAAGTGCCGTTACCAGCCCACTACGAACTGCTGCCTCCACCTGAGTACAGGCCCACGGACCACTACAGGGTGCTTCTTGGCCCACCGGTGGTCCGTGGCCCACAGGTTGAGAAACCTGCTTAACAGGGCATATATCATGAGGAAAAATGTTTGGCTTTTTTGAAATAAAGGGGTTTGATGTAGTGTGTAAACACTGTTCATTCCTTATTTCACACTGTCCATATATGGAAACTAGGAATTCATCATTTTTGTGATGTGAGTCAATCTGTGGAAATATTTTGTGTCCTTAGCATTTATAGATATATTAAACATGAACATGTTAGGAGTACAGTTTATTTATATTTTAAAATAAAACAATGTTATTTTAACAATTACATCTTCTTGAGCCTCAATTCAGCAATATTGGTTTTTAAATCAATTATCTAGAATTCCAAGCACCACAGATGAGTTCATCCTCACAGTCATGTGTAAAGGCTGAGGCCATATTTTGAGTTAAAAAACATGTTTTTTTTGCTATTTTAACTACAATAATCTATGCATGACTATGAAATATATGATATAAATGACATAAAGAAAACAAACACCAAATAAATATTATAAAATATATAATGAAAGTTCCCCAGGGGTCGTGTCACTGGTGTTACCGCATAACAAAAAAACTCTTATTTTGAAATAAAAGTCACACTGATGACATCACTCAACTTCCTTTTCCCTGTTTTCTGAGGATCTATGAGGAAAAGCACATGGTGAGTCCACTGTGTCTTTCAGTTATCAGAGATTTTCTCATTTAGCTCCTGATTTCATATGAAGCTTTTAGCTGAAGTCACTGGTGTGACCGACTTTATTCTGAGGTAAATGTGAAAAAATAGAATATAAATGGATCAAATTACATATTTCAGTGGATATTCCATGATTGACAACATGTCGTTTCATGGTCTGTAGCAGCCATTCTGTAAAAGGCATTATAGATTAAAAACGTCTCTGGTGTTACCTTTCTTATGTGTAACACCAATGATGGTCAGTAACACCAGTGACTCCTATGGAGAGATAGAAAAGTGGATGTTTGTGTGATGTCCAGATCAACAGATTTACATATATCCACCTATTCAGCCTACAACAGCAGACAAGCTGTAAGAAGTGTTTAAGCCTTGACTGCTTTTTGAATGCGGCGCAATGCAGGACAGCCAGTTAGAACAGAGCTCATTTACATATGTCAGTTTTGAACTAGCTGGCATCCTCAATCTTGGTTGGTCAAAAAAAGTAAAACAATTGTTGGTTTTTCAACTGAAATGCATTAACCTCTTGGACCCCCTGAATGTCTCAAAATAAAGATTCTGGGGGGGTCTGTGAAAATGAACTTATAACGATGTGCTGTCCATTTGGGTACGCTCAAACGCAAATTCAGGGAAAGCTCATTGTTTAGCTGCTTCACCCACAGTCAGCAAGCTTTTAGATTCTTACCGACTAGAGATGCAGCTCTAGTCTGCCTAATGATGGTGCTGTAGCAAATTGATTTACCCTCATCATCCTGGTTCATCTCACTCCTGGAGAAAATTGGAATAATTTGTCCCAATCCCGCCCACAACCGAAACATTTTGTCCCTCTCCCGCCCGCATAGTTCCATCAAGGCAAGGTGACATTCAGTACTTGACACAGTCTATTCACAAATACATTATTCTCTGCTAAAATAACACTGCAGTCATGGTGATCAGGCTCACTGTGAGTAACTTCACCAAAAGCCTTTTATTCCCAGCAAACACAAAGGAATTAAACCACAGAGCGGTTATTTTTGGTGTTCTGCAGGGCAGCTGTGGCCGTCAGACTGAAGGCTCCATAGTCTCTGTAAGCTCTGAGAATTTGCATGTTGATCGGTTGCTTTGCAACTCTTTAGAATGACTAATTCATTTTAACTGCTTTACTTGTATCATTTTGTATTGTTTATATACATGATTTGGTGATCATTCTACTTTGTTTAGGCTATTCATTAATTTGACGTTTACTGACAATTCAGCAACTTCCCAATGGATCCAAAGTTTTTAGTCATTAAGGTGTTTTCTAAGTAGAAGGTATTGAAATTGATTCCTGTGGTAACCGGCAGTACAATACAGATGCAGAAGATAGAGGTTACATTGAAAAATGTTGAAATATTTCTTTAACAGATCGGTATATACCCTGCAAAGATTCATTTTTGTTCAAATCAATACTAGATTCACACTGATTCTCAAAATCAACCCCTTTAGATGTTTTATATTCTTCCTCTAACCCACATCAACCCAAAATATTCTGGATTATTGTCCCATGTTTCGGTGGCAGAAACGCGAAAGCCCAGTTGCTAGGAGGACACATTCCGGAATTTATGATAAGCACAAAACATCAAATTTATGCACCTTAATCATGGCAGCATTTTCTTTAGTCATCATCTCACGTTTGAACCATGTGCCATTTTGTTTCATGTCTCACTCCACACAGACAAAAAGACTTGCATATATATACACATATATACTCTCTCTCTCTACCACACAGTTACTTCTTTTCAGTTTTTTTTTTTAGTTGTATCTCAAGAGTGATCAAAGAGCCTCTTCACACCTGGTATTAACATCCATCTCGAGTGATCTGATCACAAATACATAGAGATGACTGCACCTGGCATTTCCATGTGTCTCAAATTCTTCTCCAGTGACCATTCGTGATTGGATTTTGTACCTGGAGGAACGGTACCATGCGCAAATACCACGTCTGTCTCTCGCTGCAATCGTTCACACACAGAAGATGTCCTTGTTTGTGTAAACGTACAAGCTGTTACAGACATTTTGATCGCATGTACGCAACTCAAACAGCAAGAAGCTACGTAACATCTTTCATCTCTGTTGTGATGATGCAGATCACTGGACGGTCCTTTGTCCGGATGTTCTGTAGTCATATGTGTCCCGGACCACCACCGAAGGGGGTTTGAGTGATCGGACAATGTGTCTCAAAGAACGGTTACCATTCACACCCGTCGAAAATGGGGACTTCTGACAAAGTTTCAGACTCAAGTTGCAAGTTACTGACTCGCGTTGCATGTTACATGACTCGGACTTGAGAATTATGACTCGGTCTGACGAAAAAACAGTGATTCCGACCTCCAGCAGCTCACGGTGGCGTCAGGTTTGATACGGCTTCAAATAAACAGTATTTCGTTACAGGAATACCTTCAGTCTGATGGACAGAATGAAGTGCTAACTGCAGTTAACATGGTGTTGAAAGGAAAGAGGAATAACAACTTGAAAACAACTTGAAACTACTGAACTTTTCTGGATTAGTCATTGCACTCGCTAGCTAGCATATACACTATTATACACTGTACCCAACCATTCCAAGTTGTTTTGCCTAGTTCCTTTAAACACCACATTTACTACCTGCAGTCCTTCGTTCTTTTCTTCAGACTAAAGGTTTTCTACAATAGAAGACTTGTTTTATGAATCCGTGTTAACCTTGACTGGCTTAAGTTTTTACAATGCAATGCCTGAAACAACTAGACGAAATGAAAATTCTCTACTAAAGACTCAAGACCTGATTCACAGTCAGACTCTAGAGACTCAAGACTCGACTGGGACTTGCACCCCAGAGACTTGAGACTCCACACACATGAATTGACTCAAACATCTCTGATACCTGTAGTTGCTGCTGTCCACTACTGATCAGATTGATCGGATCACCCAAGAAGTATTTTAACGCCAGGCTTGAACGAGGACATACTGATATGTCATTCTGTTTCTGGTGTCTTTGGGTGTGTGTGTGTGTGTTTTGTGTATGTGTGGGTGTGTGTGTGTGTGTACACACAATCACAGTTCATCTAAGTTGCTGTAAGTAGCGTGATATGTTTAAATGCTCTATACCACTGGCCTCAAAACCTGCAGTCTGAGATCAAATATGTATAATAAAAATAATAATAATTAAACCAATATACATACAGATAATAACACTTCACTTTATCTCGCTGTGTTTGATTTGGATCTATGACAAAAAGTGTCCGAAAAACAGGTCCGGTGGAGACACAGGGACAGACTCGACTAGCCTGTGTGTGTACACTAATAATCCAAAACTCTGCCCTTTTTGTGCTGCCAATCATCTTCCAGATGTCCTACTTTTGAAGGACAGCCAAGCAGGACTTTTGGAGAGGTCTGCACTGACCTGTTCACAGCCACCCTCAGGAGACTGGAGAATCGTAAAGGGTGAAATTGCATGCTCAAGGTAGTAGTCCCATATCACGGCTCTTCAAACCATTTCTTGATTTGCAAGGGGTTGCAAGGAGACAGGCTGGATCGTTTGCCAACTTCTATTCTCACATCCTGTTTGTCCACTGCCTCTCCTCTTGGACTGGGTACCAGCAATAGTCTGCTTGTTCGAACTCTGTTTATTACTACTTTTTTAAGTGGTCTCTAGCCACAGAGTTGCCACTGATGGGCTTGGATATGACCGAAAAGATGCCCAAGGAAAAACTTCCAAAAGAAAGACTGAATTCACAATACACTAAAGCATTCAGACAGCCACTAGGGGGCATAGTGGATGAAGGGTGCAGGGCAGGGCTGAAAGAGTGTGAGATCATCCAGGTTCAAGGCTCCTGCTCTGATTTGTTATGCTCATTCCACCAAATGAATTTCATTGGCTCAATTTTTTTTAGGTAGGCCGCTGTATGACATCATCTAGATGTAGCTATAAATCTTTTTCGAAAAATGGGCTGAGACTACGGGAATGTGTCTTGTACACTGCACACCCAGTGCATCGCCGAGCCTATCTGTTCATTCTTAAACCCTGTTTTTTTCTTAGAAGTCAAAAAGAGGGAAGAGCAGCTGTCCTCAAAGTGGGATGGCTGATGACCCACGGCAACCCCTGATACTGTCACCTACCTTGCCTGTTTTTCCAGGAAGGTTTTCTACTGGATGTTCATTTGTGGGGCAATGGCTACTAGGTGTGATCAGAGTCTAGGTCATCGTTGTAGTGGGCAAGAGTAGCATTCGACGGAGGAGTCCTGCTGATGTCTAGGGTTCCACTTGTGACCGAATGATTGGAATGATCCAATGAGGACATGATGGACGGGTGTATGGATTGTTCCAGGTTTAGAATATCACAGTTTCTGGACTCCATGGTACCAGTGATGGTCATCTGTTTGGGCTGGTCCAGGTTGCCCGTGTTAGCTGGGTGTTTGGACTGGTCTACGGTATCAGAAAAGGCTTGCTGTTTGGGATGGTCCAGGGGGCCCAAATTAGCTGTCTGTTTGGACTGGTCCATGGTATCAGCAAAGGTCAACTGTTTGGGATAGTCCACTGCACTCATGTTAGCTAGGTGTCTGGACTGGTTCAGGGTATCAGCAAAGGTCAGCTGTTTGGGATGGTCCAATGTACCTGTGTTAATTGGGTGCCTGGACTGGTCAAGGGTACCAACAATGGTCAACTCTTTGGAGTGGTCTAGGGTGCCATTGTTAGCTGGGTGTTTGGGCTGGTCCAGGGTACCAGCAATCGCCAGTTGTTTGGAATGATCCAGCGTACCCACATTAGCTGAATGTATGGACTGGTCCATAGTACCAGTAATGGCCAGCTGTTTGGGATGGTCCAGTGTACTGATATTATTTGGGTGGTTGGAGTGGTTGGGTTGGTCCAAAGTTCCAGCAATTGGCAGGTGTTTGGAATGGTCCAGTGTACCCATGCTAGCTGGGTGTTTGGAGTGGTTGAGGGTGTGAGGGTAAGTTGGGTGATTGGACTGGTTCAGGTTACACATGTTCGCCAAGTGCTTAGACTGGCCCAGTGCACCTGTAATGGTTGGGTGTTTGGTATGGTTTAGGTTTCCCATGATGGTCAGGTGTTTGGGGTGGTCCAGGGTAGCTGCCACACCTGGGTGTTTGGAGTGGACCCGGCCGATCTCCTCTAAAGCACTCGCCAGAGAGTCCAGGTCTCCTCTGTCCTGGTGCTGAGCTTCCCACAGGCTGAGAATGACTGCTGATGGACTTGTTTGTCGTGCAAAATAACCCAGGTTCCTGAGCAGAGATGAAGAAATGTCAATGAGAAAGATAATAACAGCCTTTCAGACAATAAAAGCAACAGTGTACAACAGCACGGAATTTACTAATAACTCTTGCATGGAGATAGAGAGCAGGCATAGAACTAAAGAATCAATAAACTACCATAGTCAACAGAAAATGAAACCCAACACAAACACAAAACCTGTAAACTATATAAGTCAGGGGTGAATAATTATTTTGGTTACTGTTGAGTAGCTAGAATGAAGTGTAAAAGTGTCTTTTTTTAATAGTAATCACAGGGCAAAAGTGTACCCAGGAGTAGCATCATTGTGGCACAAGGTAATGTGAGCAACCTTGAAGAGAATAACTATTTCAGCTTATAATTACGCTGATAGTGTTAGTGGACTACAATAAGGTTCCACCAGAATTTTGTCAGGCTACAGTTGGGTTTGGCCAGATATTTTTTGGCCTATAATCAGGTTCCATCAGAATTTTGTTGAGCTACATTTCAGTTCTGCCAGAATTTTGTTGGGCTATTGTTGAGTTTAGCCAGAATGTTTTTGGTCTACAATCAGGTTCCACCAGAATTTTGTTGGGCTACAGTTGGGTTTGGCCAGAATGTTTTTGGTCTACAATCAGGTTCCATCTGAATTTTGTCTTGCTACAGTTGGGTTCTGCCAGAATTTTGTTGGGCTACAGTTGGGTTTGGCCAGAATGGTTTCGGTCTACAATCGGGTTCCATCTGAATTCTGTCGGGCTACAGTTGGGTGTTGCCAGAATTTTGTCAGGCAGACCTATCGGGTTCAGACCAAATTGTGTCGGGCTACAATTGGGTTCAGACCACATTTTGTCGGGTTTACTGTTGTTTTTTATTGGAGTTACTCTTGGGTTTAGATTCAGGTTTTGTTGGGCTACAGTTAGGTTCAGTAATGATTTTGTCAAGCTGAAGTTGAGTTTAGACAGAATTTTGTCAGGCTACAGTCGGGTTCAGACCAAATTTTATTGGACTACAGTCAGGTTCGAACAAAATCCTTTCAGGCAACAGTTGGGTTCTAATAGAATTTACCTTTTGGGTTTACGATTGAGTTGAGACAGAATTTTGTCAGCATATAATCAGGATCAGATCCTTTTCAGGCCACAGTTTAGTTCATCTAGAATTTTGTCAGGCCACATTTGGTTTGAGACAGAATTGTGTTGGGCTACTTTTGGATTGGAGAGAATTTTGCTGGTCAACAGTTGGGTCCAGATTCTGAACTTTGCGCTGTGCATCAAGTTGGGTCAAAATTGGGCACAATGTTGTCGAACAATGTTTGGGTTCGTATAAAAATATCAGGTTCGATTACAAAGCTCTGGGCCTTACACTGATCTGTCACACCTTCTAGTGTAGATACAATTCATTAAACAGATAAGACTAGCCCATAGGCAACAGGACACATACACATTACTGATAACTACAGAAATTTAGGCCAGACACTTACTCTGGGTTTGAACTGTTATCTTGTACCTAGAATATGAAGCCATACTTATAAAACCATCATTTTTCCTCTACCTGCTTGTGCTCTTTGCTTTGAAATCTGAGTTGGATTCATTGGAAGCTACAACAAAATCTGACAGGTTCTTATATGGTTTTACAATAAACTATGGGAAAAAAACAACTCCAGAGCTCTGAGGTGCAATATAAAGAACCTCTCAGTATGAATGGTGATGACATTCTAATAAATGTATTAAATGGACTTTCGATTGTTGGACCCAGAAAAACGACGCAAAATCAGAACAAAAAAGCACAGAGGTGAAAAAAACACAAGACAACAACTATACAAAGTTGTCTTCCTTGCATAAACCCAGTACAGTTACAGGACAAACATAAGAGTGAGAGAAATGCAGCACAGATTCTAGGATAAGGATAGAGAAAGGACAAACTTAGACTCAAACAGAGATTTAAATTACAGCAGAAATTTTTATATGCATAAAATTGGGAAGGTTTCTTGCTTTGATGCTCATGTGAAGCAGCCTAGTTTGGGTACAGGGAGTGCAGGGATGAACTCATGAGACGATCACTATGAGAAAATAGTGATAGGAACAGAATAAACACAGATCTAACCTCTTTAACCCTATCAAACCAGTGACCCGTCCAGAGTGTCTGTATATGACCTCTTTAACTCATTAAAATCTGCTCCCAGAGTAGTCGGTGTCCATACCGGTCACAGCTGTCATGTCAAACGTACTGAAGCTGTTAATCGATTTTACTTATGTTTTTCCCATTTTCCAGCTTTCAGAAGTAGGTAGAGATGCTATCTGCTACAATGAAGGATCCTCTGACTTTGCTAACCAAAATTTAGTGAATTCTTTACTTTATTTACACTATGATTATTATATTAGAGGTGAGCTCTGTGTGGGCGTGGCTAATGAGCAGCATGATTGACAGCTCTCTGTCCAACACTCCTAGCCTGCTCAACCACGCGCAGACTAGTCAACTAAATTCATTAGCCGGCTTTTATGTGATGGTAACTGGATGAAAAAAGCCACGGATGAACAGCGCATGAACATATCAACAAGCAATGTTGGTGTTGGATGAATGAACAGGCGACGGGCAACTGCAGACAGGTGGTCTAGCTTGCTAGCTTTTGCTTATGCTGGATTAGCTTTAGCTCGCTAAGCTTCTCTGACTCTGAAACTGTTCTGTGTAGGCGGGGCAAGAGACGCAGCCTTGTGATTGGTCAGGGGAATGCTTACGGAAGCGTTACTCAAGATTAGGACCACCCAGTTTACATCATAGGGTAGAAATGTGGTGAAATATATTGGTCATTTATTGGTCATTGGTTTTTTATTATTCTATGAGGTTTTTCCCTAAGAAGGAGAAATTAATAAACAATTACAGCCATGACACCAAAAAAAAAAACACTGAAAAAATACCAAACAAATAAACAAAAGATTACAATCAGAATCAATTAAAACTAGAAAGAAAACACAGATTGAGGTTCCCTTGGTTTTTAAAGGAAAAGAGTAGATTAAACAGCAGAAATAGCCTCTTCTTTGGCTTTAAGGGGGTCAGGAGTCCAAAGCTTCACAAATTCACACTGTGGAGAAAAAGATTAACAATAAACAATAACAAAAACAATATCAACTGTCTGTTGATCCACATGACAGTCTGAGACTGACTGACATTCGAGTCTGCAGTAACTGTTTTCCTTTTTTTTCAAAGTCAAAAAATGATGTTTTTTTTTCCTGCAAAACAAAACCATATGCAAAAGTTTTGGCACCCTCGGTCAAACTGCATAATCTGCACTTTCAACAGAAATATCAAATCACATAACAATAACTGGGGCTTCTCAGGGCTAAGAGTTGAGGAGCTAACTATAAGACTTTGCGTAAAGCGAATAAAAACAATGAATGTGAAACAACAGCACTACGGAAAGTATCTCGACAAGTTGGGCGCTAAAAGAGAACAGATTTTTCACAGCCAATCCAGCGGAGAATGAAAAAGAGCATCCAGATCAATATCGCAGGCCCAGTCTGGGCAAGCTGGGTGCAGGGCAAAAGGGTAAAGGGGGAGGATGTGCTACCGCTGGAGAGGTGATGTAAACAATCTCCATCCTCTCCACACATGTTCCACAGGGACCCCCTGCAATCAATGACCTCCAGCTTCCAGAGTGCCTCCAGCAGGGGGCAGTGCTAGATCACTGGTCGCCGCCTGTGCCGCGTGGCTCTCCGGGTAATTGCCCTCTCCGATCCCTCACGTCGCGGGGAGCTAATTGCAGAAATCCGCTTAACAAGACGTTTCTCATTACATACTGCCTGCGGCTGCGACCGCCTAGAAAATACCCCTAAATCCTCGCTCCCTGACGCTCGCCGCAGGGACAAAGAGCGCTTGTGTCTCATGGAAGAAAGTGGAGAAGCAACCCTCCCCCTTGCCCTCCTATGACAGCCTCTGTTTGATGTGGCCCAAAGCTACAGTGCATGCAGAAATCCTCTGATTGCGAGGTCCTGTCCGCTCTTCCGTCGCAGCTGTGAAAGCAGGGGCGTCTCCTGGCCAGGGCTGCCGGGGCTATAGCCGCGAATATTTTACAACCAGACCTGAACCACCTTACAACATCAACATTTCACCCTGGCTCATTTACACATCATTCTCATCATCCATGGTTTCACTCACTACCTCCTCTACGGGTTGTAGCTAGAAACAGGGTGGCCAGGTAAGCCCCAGAGATCCCCCTGGGATGGAGTACAGTTAGGAAAAAACTAAATAAAGTAGAGCTAAGGTATTAAAATGACATAAGTGGCATCACTGTGCACAATGAAATCTGTCCATCATTTTCACATCAATAAAATATTATATCAACACAACTACTGACAAAATTAAACCGAAGGACAATCGACCAAGCACACATTTACTTGCTTGTTTGGTCAGCAAAAGCCTAATCACAGCAAGATATGCTTATTATTAAATGCAGCATCATCAGACTCTCATTACTGATTGGTGACTATCCTGATGACAGGTTTTCACCATAAAGAGTAACAGATGGTTTATTAATGATGGCTGACTGTCTCACCTTCCAGAACTGAGTGTGTGTGGTCACTGCAGGACAGATGAGGGGTGCACTTACTACTGAACTGCACAAAAAATCAGAATTTATCAGGAATAAATATTTAAATCAATCTGGAAAACATACAAACAGCTTCAAGACGTTGGGACATGATGATGAATTAGCTATTATATTAGGAGAGGGTCCATCATCATCCACTGCAGCCAGTTATGTGTATGAGTGCCATATCTTCCAGGACAGTGAGTGACCACTAAACCACAACCTTTGCTTTACATATATATATATATATATATATATATATATATATATATATATATATATATATATATATATATATATATACACACACACACATATATATAGAGAGTTTTTAGAAGATTTTGTTTATAAGACCCCACAAACATCCCAAAACAGCCCTACAGTGAACAGTGCTGAGCCCCGGATCTTTACAGGCTCATCTGACCCCCCCGCGGAAAAGACAAGCCGCTGTCGGGGAGACAGTATATAAAATAATGACTCGCGCAACTTTTCTACAGACAACGGCTTCTGAGAACAGAAAAGCGACAGCTGCCGGACCGCCACGTTGCGGAAGTAGGCGAAATGGGAGCAACTGACAGGCATCTCGATATGGCCGTGATGGATATGCCAGAATGCAGGAGAAGGAAAAAAACAACACCTTTCCGTTTAATGAGGACGGGGCTTACGCTGCACAACACAGAACAGTGTCTGCATGGCGGCATGACCACAAGCGTGACTGTCCTGTTTGCATCCCTCATTAAATCTGCACAGCAGGGTTGTGGCGGATGTTCTAGGCTTTAAACTAAACGAGGAGAATGAGGAGAAAAACCTTCTGGAAACATTCAGAGTTTATGTATAACACAAATCTGTGCAATGCTGCCTTAACTCGGGTGTTATTAATCGCATTATGTTGTGCTGTTAATCGGGATTTATTGCATTTGTCTTATTTGCTTTTAAGGTATGGCGTCAAACCCAATACAAAACCGCTCTTGCGCAAAGAAATCTACTCTCGCATGCGAGGAAAACCCCTCTCGCACACGAAGACAACTACTCGCGCAAGGAAAACTGAAAAGATAGAATTCAGTACAGGCAGCATTTTATCTAACACCATTGTACTGGCGGACTATGAAGGTCGTCTCGAGTGAAAGTCCTGTTCTGGCGGCCATTGACAGCCAGCCAATCACAACACAGTTCCAGAAATCAGTAGTAACCAATCATATGTCGGGACCCACCCACAGCTGTCAAAAATGGATTAAACTCTTGCGCGAGCAGAAGCTTAATAGCGAGCAGAAAGAACAAGTGTCGGCTAATTTTTGGGTGGTTTTCCTTGCAAGAGTAGTTGTCTTTGTGCGCGAGTGTGGTTTTCTCGGGCGAGAGCGGTTTTGAATTGGATTTGATGCCACACTAAAGAAAGATTTTTTTTTCCTTTTGAAGTGTGGGAATGCCAGCCCAGGGCCAAAACAAATGACAAAAATCATCCCACCTTTCCGTCCCCTTTGAATTAACGTGGTATTACTCTATTATAGATATTTTCACTCCACCTGTATGTGAGATTTACACATGTTCACCTGCACTGTACAAAAAATTCAACATTTTTACATAAAAAAGCAAGTTACCTGGTTGCCTTCAATTTCTAAGTTCACTGTACTGCAAGTACTTAACAGAACAGGTTTTCCAAATCGCTGACTAGGACTAGTTTGAAAATGCTGTGGCAGGAGAAAAAGATGGTGGACTGCTTTTACACAAACTTTGGACTGGAGATGTTTGCTGGACCTGGCAACCCTGCCCTGCTGGAATGCTAAAAAGAACAGCAAGATCTGTGGACTAGCAAAACAGGTTTTCCAAATATCCAAACTGGACTATTTTGAAAATGCTGTCATGGAAGAAAATGAGAATGTTTCATTTTCTGGTGGGCTTCTTTTAAGTAAACCTTGGGCTAGAGATGTTTGCTGGACCTGGCAACCCCTCCTGCATTCAAATAATAAGATAACAGAACAGTTTGTCCAAATTGCTGAATTGGGTTAGTTTGAAAATGCTGTTGGAAGAAAATTCTAAAATTTCAGCTCTGGTGGTTGGCTTTAAGTAACATTGAGCTGGTTATGTTTGCATAGCGGCAAAACAAAATTTGCCTAATTCATGGAAAATCATGTCCTGATAGCAAACCTTGCAAAAATCCATTTTTATCATAAAGACTTGTCAAATGTCTCCACTATATCATAGATTAGTTCACTCCTGTTCACTATATGAACTTTCAGTAGTTAACTTACGCACCAACCCGCACACACATGCAGAGGAGACCATACGGAACATGTGTTCTTCTGCATGTCTTGCCTTAATGAGGATCTGCCTGAGCTCCCAGTCAGCACTTAGACAGATGCTCGTGAGCGCCTGTGTGTGCATTAACAAGCCTCTCACCTGTCTATGTGCAGTTTCTGAGCTAGGAGCTGCCAGTCCTTGCCCTTGGCGTTGGCCGTGTCGAAGGTGGCGCAGATGCGCTGGCGGATGGAGAGGGGGATTTTGAAAGCCCTGGCGCCCGTCTGAGAGGTAATGGTACAGTCCGACTGGGTGAAGAACGGCACCGTGTCCTTTTGGCTCTGGAAGAGACCACCACAGCCAGTGGGTGAGGGCAGCGCTTAAATCGGCATTTAGAACCATTAAATTACAGCCACACACAAAAATCTGAATTACAATGTTTTGTTGATTTTAAGTGAAAATGAGTTAAAACGTCCTCTACAGGCAATGAACTTAACTACATGGCAATTTTCTGAAAATTTTAGTGCACAATTTCTATTTACGTCGGAAAAATAAAGCATTAAAAACTTTTGCACAGACCACATTTTATGTTGTATTTTTCCCAGATATGTTAAATTTGGCCCCGAAACAGTAACTGTTCATTTAAATGTGTAAAAATTTTATAGAGGAAATCACTCAGAAATTCAACAAGACGTAATTTGACTAGGGGTGCCAAAACTTTTGAATAGGATTGTAAATGTGTACATTGGTTCTACTTGAATTGAATCTATTATATCAATAATTGGCAAAACATGTGAACTGAAAAACAGCAATCAACCTTCCAGGTTTCCAGGTTTTTTTTTTTAGTATATACACTATATGGCCAAAAGTATGTGGACACCTTACTATTACACCTATATGAGCTTGTTGGACGTTTCATTTCAAAACAACAGGCATTACTATGAAGTTGCCCCCCTTTGCATCTATAACAGCTTCCACTCTTCTGGGAAGCTTTCCACAAAATGTTGGCACTTATCGTTAGCACTTTCAGCAATAGCACTTACAGTTGTCTAGGGCAGATCTAGCAGGACTGAACTGACTTGTGACACAGGTGGCATCCTATGACAGTGCCATGTTTAATGTCCATTCTACTGAGGAGACTGCATGGCTATGTGCTTGATTTTATATACCTGTTAGCAATGGTTGTGGCTGAAATGCCTGAGCTCAATAGTGGGAGGAGCGTCCACATACTTTTGGCCATATAGTACATGTACATATTTTATACACATACATGTTTTATGTTTGTTTATAAGCATATATAAGTGTGTGTGTGTGTGTGTGTGTGTGTGTGTGTGTATACGCACCTCAGCCACAGTGGTGTAGACCTGCAAGATCAGCTCCTGACCTTTGACCTGCCGGACACTAATTTTGCAGGAGAGCTGATTGGCTGCCTGGCTAAAGCGCTCCAGGGTGAAGGCACACTGCAGAGGAGACTGATTACTGCCCCAAACCTGAGAGAAGCCAAACTCCTGCAGAGAGAGTGAGTGAGTGAGAGAGAGAGAGAGAGAGAGAGAGAGAATCAGAGGCACTGGAGTCAATTTCAAAAATCTATACATTCATACATTTTTTCCTTTCTTTATTCAATCAGCCAAGATATGTTTGCAGTAGGGCTACAAGGCTAACATAGCTAACAAGTAATGCAAGTTGACACCACACTGATTAAAAATTAATAGAATAATAACATTATACGAATAAACATAATAGCAGTAGAAGCCTGAATTTTGTCTGCACTGTTTAAAGGCCATATTTATACAACCCCGTGTCCAAAGAAGTTGGTACGCTGTGTAAAATGTAAATACAAATACAGTGCAGTCATATGCAAATCATGTAAACCTTAGATTTAATGAAAATACTACTATAATACAACATATCAAATATTGAAACTGAGAAATTGTATTTTTCTTTTTTAAATATACACCCATTTTGAATTTGATGCCAGCAACAATCCAAAAAAGTTGGGACGGGGGCCTGTTTACCACTGTGTTTCATCACCTCTTCTTTAACAGCACTCTGTAAGCGTTTGGGAACTGAGGAGACACTGCTGTAGTTTAAAAAGTGAAATGTTTTCCTATTCTTGATTGAAATAGGATTTCAGTTGCTCAACAGTTCAGGGGCTCCTTTGTTGTATTTTTATTTTAATAATGCGCCAAATGTTTTCAGAGGTGACAGATCTGGACAGCAGGCAGGTCAGTTTAGCACCCGGACTTGTTTAATGTGGAGCAATGCTGTTGTAATACATGTAGAATGTGGTTTGGCATTGCCCTGAAATAATCAAGGCCTTCCCTGAAAAAGACGTCGTCTGGATGGCGGCATATGATGCTCCAAAATCTATTTATATCATTCAGCATTGATGGTACCTTCACAGATGTGCAAGTCACCCATGCCATGTTCACTAATGTACCCACAAAGCATCATGGATACCAGCTTTTAAACTGCACACTGTTAAAAAGTCGGATGGTTCCTTTCTGTTCATGATTTCCAAAAAGAATTTCAAATGTTGATTTGTCAGACCACAGAACACTTTTCCACTTCACCTCAGTCCATCTTAAATGAGCTCGGGCCCAGAGAAGGTGGCAGCGTTTCTGGATCCTGTTTATGTATGGATTCTTCTTTGCAATCTGCATGCTAATTGGTCAGGTTTACATTTTACATTACTTATTAGCTATATTAGCCTCATGGCTCCAATGCAAAACTAAAGCAGCAAATTTCAGACACCAAACAAATCTCTGCTAATTAACTACATTTGGAATAAGGGTGAAAATGTGTAAATACGATTTGCATGTGTGTCATTTTGATGGAAAAACATCCAATCTAAGACGACAACACATAGGCACGTTTATCCTCCCTCTAACACAGCTTATCAGTAATATTCAAGCCTCCAGTCAAAAAGCCAACGTGCTGTGGCTCATTAACATTAGGCCTAATCTGCATATTAATGCAGCGTGTGAATATTCATCCCGGGGCGGTGTGAATATGCATGAGGGCGGTACCTGGCAGGTGGTGAAGGGTTTGATGCTCCAGAGGAACTGTGGGACGTCCTGGATGGAAATCTGCAGGCTGAAGGAGTTTCCCCTGAACAGCAGGGTCTTGGGCTCCTCCAGGAGGCGCCCACCCTGACCACGCTCCAACCACACCACCTCCTGCACAGCCGAGAGACAGAGAATGTAAAAGCGGTGCCTATATGTACTCCCTGGCCACTTTATTAGAAACCTCCATTTTGCTGATGTACAGTTAGAGACTGTAGCCCATCTGTTGATACACAGTTAGCGTTAGCCACCCTTTAGCCCTTCATCAGTGGTTAGTTTCTGACCACAGAGCTCCTCCTGTCTGGATATTTTTGGATGGTGTTCCACTTTCAGCCTAGCAGTGACACTGGTAAAAACCCCAGCAATACTGCTGTGCTGAGAATGGTCCACCAACCAAATAACATCTGGACAACAGCGGTCCTGTGGTAAGATGATGTATGTGGTATAAGGTGGGTGTTTATAATAAAGTGGCCAGTGAGTGGAAAGGCAAGGTGGATGTTTCTAATAAAGTGGCCAGTGAGCAGAAGTACAAAGCGGTTAATTTTTAACCCAATTTTCTCCCCAATTTAATCGTCTCTAGTTCCACCCACTAGTTAGGACTCCCCCAATCACACAATACTACCAATGGTAGGAGGGTGAAGGCTAACACAGGCTTCCTGTGAAGCTCCACCACATCTTTTCAAACTGCCGCTCACGCAACGTCATTGGTCAGCTGAACGCGCTCGGAGGAAAGCGCCAACCGCCAGATCTGTTACGTCAGCTAACAGACGCCTGCGCTGACTAGCATCGCGTTGAGTGATGGGGGGAGAAGGGGGGCCATCCCACCCACCCAGAGAGAGCGAGGCCAATTGTGCTCTCTTGGACTCCCGGCTACGGACGGCTGTAGCATCACCAGGGATCGAACTCGCGATATCCTGATGAGGGCCAACGCTTAGACGGTTGCGTAGGTTGGTAGTTGTTTCTAATAAAGTGGCCAGTAAGGAGAAGTACAAGGTGGGTGTTTCTAATAAAGGCAGTTTGAATATACATTCACATACAGCATCACTATGGAGAATCTCTCTCCCTCTCTCTCTCCCTCTCTCTCTCCCTCTCTCTCTCTCGGCTACTTCTCAGGTCTTTTTTCTCAGGTCTTTGCTCTCTGGGCACTGAGCAGCTGCTGTTCTTCTCTTTTCCTTCTCCTCATACTATGGAAGTCCAGACAGGCCGGATGGTTGTCTTGAAATAGCAAGATAGTTAACTCGTTATCTCAAGATAACAGAGTTGTTATCTCAACATAACAAGATAACTAACTCGTTTTTTCAAGAAATCAATTTTATTATCCTGAGATAACAAGATGCTTAACTCGTTATTTCAATGTAACAATTTCGTTATCTTGAGAAAACAAGATAATTAACTCCTTACCTCAAGAGAACAACTATGTTGTCTTGAGATCACAAGATAATTAACTCGTTATCTCAAGATAACAACTTTTGTTATCTCAACATAACAAGATCAAACTAACCCGTTATTTCAAGATAACAATTTTTGTTTTTTCGAGAAAACAATTTTGTTATCCTGAGATAACATGAAAATTAACTCATACTCTCCAGGTAAAAATTTTGTTATCTTGAGCAAACAAGATAATTAACTTGTTACCTCAAGATAACAACTTTTGTTATCTCAACATAACAAGATCAAACTAATCCGTTATTTCAAGAGAACAATTTTTGTTTTCTTGACATAACAAGATAACATTCATTTTTCCAATAAAATTATTTAGTTATCCTGAGATAACAAGATAATTATTTCGTTATCTCAAAGTAACAATTTTGTTATCTTGAGAAAACAAGATAATTAACTCATTATGTCACGATACAACTTCTGTTATCCTGACATAAGAGAACTAACTACTTTTTTCAAGAAAACAATTTTGTTATCCTGAGATAACAAGATAAATAACTCGTTACCTCAAGGTAACAAATATGTTATCTTGAGATCACAAGATAGTAAACTTGTTATCACAAGGTAACTGCAGAAAAAAAAAAAACTACCTCATGGCCTCTCCGGACTTTCATACCATACAGTATATATCTCTCACTCCTTTTTTCCTCTCTCTCTTTCTCTCTTATCTCTTTTTCTCTTCTCCCTATTCACTTTCTCTCTATGTCTCACCCTCCCTCTCTCTCTCTAGGTTTCTTCTTTCTCTCTCTTTGTGCTCATCCCCCTCTTTATTTAGTGTCTTTTCTCTTCTCACTCTTCGTCACTCACTCTTTTTTATTACTTTTCCCTTCTTACCATCCATTTTTTCTGTCTTGAACCTAAATTCTCTCTCTCTCTCTCTCTCTCTTTCAATTTCCTCATCTTCACATTCCCTCCTTCATATCACTCTCTTTCTTTGATCTTATCCCTTCTCCCTATTCGCTTTCTCTCTCTCTCTTGCCCCTCAATTCTCTCTCTCACTCACTATCTTTCCTCGTGCTCTCCCCCTCTCTCTTTCTTTTTTCTTCCTCCTTTTTTATCTCTTTTCCATTTTCTTCATTTACTATTTCAATCTCACTCTCTCACTCTGCCTCTCTCTGCATGCTCACCCACTCTTTTTCCTTTCTTCTCCTTATCCTTACATTTCTTTGCTATTACTCTGTCTTTTTTATCTTTTTTCTCTTCGCCCAATTCCCCCTCTCTCTCTGTCACCGCTCTCTCTTTCCTCTTTCTTCCATTTCTTTGCTATTACTCTCTCTTTTCAACCTCTTTTCTCCTTCTCCGCATTCAATATTTCTCCCTCTCTCTCTCTCTCTCTCTCTCTTCTTCTTCATTATCACTTTTTTTATTTTCTTTCACTCTCCATGTCTAGGCCCTCAGTTCTCTCTCTCTGTATCGACCCAGAGGCGAGAGGGGAATTCGTTTGCTTTCGTGCGAGACACAAAAACACCCACAGAGACAACAAAAGGGTCCAGAGAAGAAAAGGAGGGCGATGAAGAAAAAGAGGAAGATGAAGGGTTGAATAAACAGAGTGACAGCCGGCGGTTTTGCTGAGGCAAAAAAGCAATCTAAGCCCATTCACTCCATTACTGCCTCTCTTTCAGCTGGACACACACACACACAGTCCTTAGCGCTGTGCCGATGTATGCGGCTTTAACGCTTCTAACTGTCTGTGTGTCAGGGCGATACCAGTTTTCCATAGTAGGTCCCCTTCATTTCTTAGTGAACAAGTTAAGCCTCAGCCTAATTATCCACAACTGCAGTCTCAGTTTCCATTGCTATGCTACGATATTCAGATGTATATCAGCACAAACACCACCAGCATTCTACCATCATGCATCCATGAATTAAAATATATAATAGAAACTATAATATAAATGAGAAAATGCAAACTATTCAACAAAAATTATTCAGCATCTACTATCAATTATCCACTAGCTACAATGAATTATTCAATAACTAACATGAATTATTTTCTATCTACTATGAATTATTCAATGACTACTATAGATTATTGAGTAACCACTATGAATTATTCTGTAACCACTACAAATTATTCAGTAACTGCTATGAATTATTCAGTAGCTACTATAAATGAATCCATATCTACTCTGCAAACTGCATTGTTCAGTTTACTCTATGAATTATTCAGTAACTACTACTGACATTCTGCAGTGACAATTACAAGTGACTAGTAAACTGCAATAATACACTGTAATGTGATAAATACCAAAGTAATCAACTTTTGGGTTGGTCAGTTTGGACAGGGGCTAAAGTGGACTGTCCTGGGTTAAATGGGGAGCAACACTGATCCCATGTCTGACCTGGAAGGCGTGCGGTGTGTCGTCCACACAGTAAACGCGGAGGCTGTAGGTGAGGGTGTCGGCCTCCAGGTTGCCGAACACAGCGAGGCGGAGCCTTTTCACTGCGGCCTCACTCAACGGCTCCCCCACCAGAGCGTAGCGGCCTGGACGGTCCACCAGGAGGTGGCAGCACTGAGGCTCCAACAGGCAGTAACAGGAGGCACACTCACCGTCCACAGACATCACATCCTGGGACACAAACATACATATATTCCCTGTTAAAAGTGGTCAGGACCCCCACAGGACCCCCACAGAGCAGGTATTATTTGGGTGGTGGGTCATTCTCAGCACTGCAATAACACTGATGTGGTGGGGGTGTGTTTGTGTATTGTGCTGGTCTGAGTGGATCAGACACAGCAATGTCCACCCACTATCCAGTGTATTAATCTACCCTGTAGGTCCACCTTGTCCACCAGTTGCTGCACAGTTTGTGTTGGTCATCCTCTAATCCTACATCAGTGGTCACAGGACGCTCTCCCTAGGACGCTGTTTGCTGGATGTTTTTGGCTCTCAGTCCAGCAGCAACACTAAAGTGTTTAAAAATGCCTTGAGTTCATGCCTCGGCAGGTCCGAGCTGGTTTGGTGGCACATCGATGACCAAGAGCATATTAGGCAGGTGGTCATAACAATTTGGCTCATTGGTGTTTACTATATTTTCCTTTATTACACCTAACAGGTAGCCAGCATAGGGAGGCGAGTGGAGGAGTACCGATCTCCCTTTTCTTGGTACCTGTGTGCATTTCGGACCACCTGCAGGGGCGACAAGCTTAGAGACTGTAGCCCATCTGTTGATACACAGTTAGCGTTAGCCACCCTTTAGCCCTTCATCAGCGGTTAATTTCTGACCACAGAGCTCCTCCTGTCTGGATATTTTTGGATGGTGTTCCACTCTCAGCCTAGCAGTGACACTGGTAAAAACCCCAGCAATACTGCTGTGCTGAGAATGGTCCACCAACCAAATAACATCTGGACAACAGCGGTCCTGCGGTAAGATGACGTATGCGGTAGAGGTGCTGATGAACTGTGTATATATATATATAGTGGACCTATAAGGTGGGTGTTTATAATAAAGTGGCCAGTGAGTAGTGACAATTACTCACTGGCCAGTGAGTAATTAGATAGATACCCACTGATGAAACCATCATTTTATGACCATTCAGAAAAAGATACAAAGAATATAAAGAAGAAGAAAAAGAAGATGATGAGAAAGTAGAGGATGATGATAAAGAAGAAGAACGGTGAATTAGATGCGTGTGCCGTCTCACCTCCCAGCTGTCCCGCGTTTCTCTCCTCAGTTTTATGCTCCAGTCGTCTGAGTTTACATCTGCACAGTGCGCGATTGTCAAGGCGACGGGACACGAGAGGTCCAGCCCTGGTGGGCCATACGAGACCTCCGGCCCTAACAGAACCTCCTGAGACTCTTCTGATAGGACACTGGAGAAAGAGAGAGAGAGAGAGATTTTGTTATAGCAATTGACACTATTCTCAATAAATGTGTGAGGAGTAAACGCTGGAACTCATTTCGCTAAGTGCCCTTAACATAATGCAAATGTTCATTAATTAATAATGCAATTTAAGCAGTAAACCATTTGGTAACTGCTCAAACCTTGGCCTATGATATTAATTCAATTTTCAGCTTTTCAACAAAACAGATAAAGCATGTTAAAGAAATAAAACGGGCTAAACAATCATGTTTATTGTAAAATAACACTGAAACAAAGTCTAATCCAAAGGTTTAGCTAGTGCTTAAATGAGAAAGAGCTACAGTCAATAGAGCTTTAAACTTACAAAGACATGAAGCCTAGAACTGCCTCAAAATCAAACCAAGACTGTATCTCAGTATACGGCACTTCCTGTATCTTGTCTGTTCGAGCTGCGGTTAGAAATTGACCGTAAGTGGACTGTAAGTGAAATTACAAGGAGTTTTTTATAGAACACTGGAGAAAATAAAATCTTTATGGATCAGATCAGTCAATAATCCCACTTTACAGAACACTGGCAGTAATCCCAGTTTTACAGAACACTGGCAATAATCCCACTTTAGAGAATGCTGGCAGTAATCCCAGTTTTACAGAACACTGGCAATAATCCCACTTTAGAGAATGCTGGCAATAATCCCAGTTTTACAGAACACTGGCAATAATCCCACTTTAGAGAATGCTGGCAATAATCCCAGTTTTACAGAACACTGGCAATAATCCCACTTTAGAGAATGCTGGCAATAATCCCAGTTTTACAGAACACTGGCAATAATCCCACTTTAGAGAATGCTGGCAATAATCCCAGTTTTACAGAACACTGGCAATAATCCCACTTTAGAGAATGCTGGCAACAATCCCAGTTTTATAAAAACAAAACAAAAAAATTCCCAGTTTTCTGGAATACTGGCAAATTCCCTGTTTTACTGAATACTGGCAACAATCCCAAATTTAAATAACACTGGCAATAATCCCAGTTTTATATAAAAAACATCAAAATTCCCGGTTTTCTGGAACACTGGAAAATACCCAGTTTTACAGAACATTTGCAGTAATCCCAATTCAACAGATCACTAGTAATAATGATAGTTTTACAGATCACTGGCAATAATCACAGTTTTAGAGATCACTGACAATGATTATAGTTTTACAGATCACTAGCAAATTCCCTGTCTTACAAAACACTGGTATAATCACAGTTTTACAGAGCACTGTCAAAAATCTCATCTTTCCAGGAACACTGGCAATAATCTCAGGTTTCCTTTCTGTACAGAACAATGCCAAATAAACCCAGTTTTACAGTACAATAATTCCATTATTATTAGGGCACTTGAAATAATCCCAGTTTTGCAGAATACTGTGAAAGATCCTAATTTCACAGAACACTGGCAATAATCCCATTTTTAAATAACATTGGAAATTATCCAAATTTTACATAACATTAGCAATAATCTCAGTTTTACAGGATGCTGACAATAATCCCACCCAACCATTCAAACTGTAGCGCACAACTCATATGTAAATTATTTGCACTGGAAAACTGCAGTGCTTGAGTCATGACAAAACATTTCCAGTGTAAAGTGCTCTGCTACTGAGCTTGACTGTGCAGTCGTCACTAAATCATGCTGCAAACAACAACAACCACAAATTTGCTGCAATGCTCATGTTAGATTACGCTATGACAACTTTACAACATAAACATAATTTGAAATAAATAATAACAATAGTAAGATGCTAAATAGTTATGCTGAAATGGTCACAACAACTAATTAGCACTAATTAATTGTAACTAATTGTCAATCTACAGTGAAACATTAGCATAATCTCCGATCTCAGAGCGAGGCGTCATATTTTAATGATGTTTTATGCGAAACCAGGTTTTCAAAAACTCTTTTCAAGAAGCTTCTTTTATATTCTAGGGACTGAGCTCTGCCAGTATCAACCAGCTAGCCTGCCGGCGGCTAAGCCTGACATTGCTATCGCTCCAGATAACTCTTTAGCTTCACTGCTAACGCAGACACACAGCCTGAGATCAAAACAGTGACTGCAGGTGCTGTATGATTGAACAGGTGAGTGTGCGTGTGGGAGATGTAAGGACTCGCGGTCGATGGCGTTCTTTGAAGCTCTTTCTGAGGACTCCTCCGACAGATGGAAACACTTTGGATGCATTTGCGCGGATCGATATGTCTCGGAGCACTCCAGCCAGACTCAGAAATCTAGGGCCGGGGGGAGAGAGAGCGGACACGGCCGGACCCGCCAGCGGTACAGTGACCCCGAGGGCGGGCGCACACGCATGCACGCACATCTCTTCCACTCCATTGAAGAGTTTGTAGAGCTACAAAATAATGACTTGCTGTGGCTCCCAAAGGACGGACAGGACAAAGTGCTTAAGTTCATTCACTGGCACGGCCCTGCGACAGCGGCTAGATGAGCCTACAGCTTCAGCTAGCACAGAAACATGATTAGCTCTCGCATCGTTCAAGGATAAGAGGGCTGAATGCGAAATTGGCGTCCTTCAGTTCATAACTTACATAAACAAACACATATTGAGAAACTCAACGTGCCTCCAGCATTCCAGCAGAAAAAAAAGACTTTTATGCAAAAAGGATATTAACCAACTAACTAACTCGCTAAATAACAATACATAATGTCCCGCAACGTTGGCAACATGCAAAACAACACTGGCAGTAGAATAGGTTGTACTGAAGACCTTAAGTCAGTTCATGAAATTTCTGCCCTGCTAGGTCTGCCCTAGACAACTGTAAGTGCTATTATTGTTAAACAGAAGGTCAAGGAACAAGAGCTTAGCTGTGAAGTGGTAGACCATGCACACTCAAAAAGAAGATGCTAAACATTCAAACATATCGTATGTTAACATTCCCTCTTGTCTGTTGTGTTACCTACTAGGCTTAGAGTTCCAAACTGCCTCCGAAAGCAACATCAGCACAAGAACTGTGTGTCAGGAGCTTCATGAAATGGGTTTCACAAGCCTAAGATCACCATGTGCAATGCCAAGAGTCTGCTGGAGGGGTGTAAACCATGGTGCCACTGGAAATGTTCTCTAGAGGGATGAATCATGCTTCACTATGAAGGACGTCTGGGTTTTCGGATGCCAGGAGATATTATACGTAGCAAAATTACTTATAAAGTAATTACAATAAAGTCTTATTACATTAAGATTACATACAGAATGTTACTGTTTCTAGATTTACACTTTACCTACAACGACTATGAAACAGATGCACTGAGTTAGCAGCTAATTAGGTACTCCTACCTTCAGTTAATGGCTATTTTATCAGAAACACCTGCTGCACAGGTGCACTTTTCTGTAGCCCATCTGTTGCCACTATTCATCAGCCCCCCACTACTCACCCACTACTATATATGATATTAATAGGTACTGTTTATGACATATGAAATTTCCTGGTTAAAACACCTTAACAATTAAGTTTTTCTGACATTCACAGCTGTTATTTTACTGAATGAAATTGCTGTAATTTTTAAAGTAGTTTCTTGTATGAAAAATACAGTGCTGTCAAAGTAAGCTTTAACACATTAAATGGTGTTAAATATGTTAAATTATAACCGCCACAATTTTTTAAATACATTCTTTTACGCATATATATATGTATATATATATATATATATATATATATATATATATATATATATATATATATATATATATATATATATGATGGACATGATATGCACTATATGGACAAAAGTATTGGGACATACCTACTAATTATTGAGTTCAGCTGTTTCAGCCACACTCATTGTTAACAGGTGGATAAAATTAAGCCCATAGCTTTGCAGTCTCGATAGACAAACACTCACAGTAGAATGAGTTGTACTGTCATAGGATGCCACCTCTGCCACAGGTTAGTTTGTGAACTTTGTGTTCTGCTAGATCTGCCTGAGACAACTGTAAGTGCTATTATTATAAAATCCAAGCACCTGTATGTAAAGCACACCACCACTGGACTCTGGAGCAGTGGAAACATATTCTGTGGAGTGACGAATCAGCTTCTCTATCTGTCAGCCTGATGGACGAGTCTGGGTTTGGCGAATGCCAGGAGAACGTTACCTGCCTGACTGCACTGTGCCAGCTGTAGAGTTTGGTGGAGGAGGGATGATGATACGGGGCTGTTTTTCAGGGGTTGGTCTAGAACCCTTAGTTCCAGTGAAGGGGAATCTTAATGCTTCAGCACCAAGACATTTTTGGCACGTGTACGCTTCCAACTTTGTGGGAACAGTTTGGGGAAGAACCTTTCCTGTTCCAGCATGACTGAGCCCCAGTGCACAAAGCAGCTCCATAAAGGCCTGACTGGGTGAGTTTGGTGTGGAAGAGCTTGACTGACCCTCACAGTCCTGACCTCAACCCCATCAAACACCTTTGGGATGAACTAGAACGGAGATTGTGAGCCAGACCCTCTCGTCCAACATCAGTGTCTGACCTCACAGATGCTCTTCTGGATGAATGGGCAGAAATTTCAACAGACGCACAACGAAATCTTGTAGAAAGCTTCCCAGAAGAGTGGAAGCTGTTAGAGCTGCAAAGGGGACCAACTCCATATTAATGCCTATGGATTTAGAATGGGATGTCTTAAAAGCTGCTGTGGGTGTAATGAGTAAGTGTCCCAATACTTTTGTCCATACAGTGTATATATGGTTTGTTCACATAATGAAATTGTGTTCTTCAAATCTAATGCTTCTTCTCCAGGATGGAAAACCTCTTGTTTATGGTTCTTTAAAGCAGTGGTTCTCAAACCGGTCCTCCCAGGTGGTGCGCATTAGTGGTTCCATTTCAAAGTTGTGGACTGTGTTATGGTGGTGTTTTTTTTACACTGCCTTCCAGTCAAAATAAGCACTAATAAACTTGTTTTTTCAAAGCAGTAAACTGTCTGCACAGCGCAGTACAGTGGGGGGTCATTACTTCAGAACCAGAGTGGG